AGTGAGAGGCCCGCGTACCGCAAAAAAAAAAAAAAAAAAGAATTTATCACACTGCCTGACACAACTAAATGTGCAATAAATGTTACCTAAAATTACTATTAGTCATAAAATTACAGGGGAATCAAAAGAAGAATTTTCTTCTTTCTCCGTATTTCTCTTTAATGAGGTTTTCAGAGGCAAAAAAGATTGAGGATCTAGTCTTATGAATATAGATATTTGCTTTTATGTTAGAAAAAAAAAATTACATGGCTCCATATCACAAAATTTAACATCTTTCCATTAAACATCACACAATCCTCATCATCATTATGCCCTACACACACCCTAAGTGTTGTGGAGTTTCTATTGATATTCAACAATAGGGTCCAGAAATTTTAAATAAGAAATACTTGCAGAAATGCATGTTGGGCAGGAATCTGTGGGTCCCCTAAGAGCTTAGGCCAACACAGATGCCTGGGATTCTGCCTCCAAGGACTGGACCCGCCCACACACAGTCAGATGGGTCAGGTTCCTGCAGCCCTTCAAAGGTCCATTTGAGATCCCCTTCAAGAGGGGAGTTCCCAATAGGTGAAAGCAGCAGCAGCCACTGAGGATGGAGTGCCCCACACCTACTTCAGTACGACATGATAGCTATCATTGGTTTCTTTCATTGTGTCCAGAATAAAACAGGCTTCTTCCTGAAAGTTCTGTATCATCTCATCACTAAAGAGCACATGGATTCCTGTGGGCCCCTGCTTGTGGACCTGGCTGATCTGGCAAGGGGAAATGCTGAAAAGCTGAGCAATTTTTTCTGTCAGTTCAACAGCTGTCAGTTCTTCTAGGCAGATGGCATGGTAAACGAAGAAAGTACCATTTGAGTCTCCAACCTCATGCTTCAGCTACTGTTGCCGCTGCTCCCTCAGCTTCAAGGATTCCTGACAAACATAAATGGTTAGCCTTGGGCGTACCATCCAGGCTTTTAATGCATTAAAAAGTCTGATTCCATCTGCAGGGCCACAGATTTGAATCACATCATCTCTAGTTAGTTTCAATAAATCTGCCCCTGAGAAGTTTGTAAAAAGCCTCGTGAATGTGGAAAAACAGTTTCCATGCAACCACTGCTGAGCCTCCTGAGGTGTGGTTGTCAGCAAGAGGTTATCTGTGACTGGAGGGGGCAGCTCTGGCTGGTGACTTGGTGGACCATTTCCTTCCCCAAGAGAAAGACTGCTATGGGAACTGCTGAAGCCAGGTGATGGGGAATTATTGACATACGTGATCTCGGGCTGTGGAGAACACTCTGTGTATATAGTTGTCTCATAGGAAGGTTGCTATTTCTCCTTCTCATGAGGCGTTCGTTTCTCCATTTTCTCCCTGTCTGTTTTTTGTTTTCTGTCTGCACCTTTGGGCTTGAAGACTTTGATCTGGCAGCTGGCTGAGTGTAAGTGCCCAGTATATTCCCCGTTCTCATTCTCCTTGAAGGTATCGATTTGTACTTGAAATGGCACTCCCTTCTCTCCACCATGTTTCCGCATAGTGAACTCTGTGCTAATACAATGCATTTGAATAAACACAGACGTCCTCTTTGCAGGATCCCACAGGAACTCCACTGTATTTAGTTGGTTTGGATTAGCCCTAGGATCGATTATACCCACAGACATGGGGATATCTACGTCAAGAATTCTATCTTCAGGGCTCCCCTGGTGGCGCAGTGGTTGAGAGTCCGCCTGCCGATGCAGGGGACACGGGTTCGTGCCCCGGTCCGGGAAGATCCCACATGCCGCGGAGCGGCTGGGCCCGTGAACCATGGCCGCTGGGCCTGCGCGTCCGGAGCCTGTGCTCCACAACGGGAGAGGCCACAACAGTGAGAGGCCCGCGTACCGCAAAAAAAAAAAAAAAAAAAGAATTCTATCTCCAGGTCGGTTCCACCTCCAGCCCTCCAGCTACTGATGTTCAGTGTATTGTAGCCGTCTGTCATGGAACACGACACAGAATATACTCTTCACCAACTTGCCATTAATTTCTGGAAGTTCTCCAGGTTTCCTATTGTCCAGCATTCGGATTTCATAAGACTGGCCTTGATTGAGATATGTCAGGGTTTCATCATGGAGTTTCACTGCTGGAGAGGTGGCAGCACGAAGCACGTATGGAAAAGGGAGGATTTTATTCTCATTATCTGGAGGCAAACTTGACTCTTCTTGCTTAAAAATGGGCAATGCTTGGACATCACCTGCGCTCCCATGCCACTTTCGCACCTTTTCCCCCGCCCCTTTCTGTTGGAACCACCTGCCGTTTATCTGTCTGTCCCAAGACACAGGCAGGAGGGTGTCTGCTTTACCTCTGGGTCCTCAGCATACAGCCCAGTAAATGAGCCCAGCGCTGGATCCCTGACTCCAACATGGATCCCATTTCCCTCCCTCACCAGCCTGATCCCAGCCCAATCCAGCTCTGCTCAAGTTCTGACCTCATCCAAGACCCCAGCTTCACTTTTGACTCTTACCTCGTCCTGTGGCCTCAACAGCACACAAAGGAAAGGAATAAAGGCAGGTGCCCCTCCACCTCCCTGAAGCAGCACTCAGCGTCCTGAGCCCTCTTCCAGTCTGCAGAGGGGAATGAGGGCAAGTAGGAGTGGGAACGTGGGCAATGCAAGTTCCAGACCTGACCCGGTCTATTGGCACCCTCTAGAGGACAGTTCTATTACCAGAGCTGGCTTTGCAACTAGACCCTATACCACCTCTCCACAATGAGGGGCTGCAGGCCTCAGAAGCTTCTGGACCCACTGCCCACCACCCACTACTCCACCTGGGGGGTCTCCTTACATTCTGCAGACCAGCAACCCCTCCCTTGTTTCTCAGCACTGGGTCATCTGCTCAAATCCCAAACTGGCTCATCTTTGGAGGCTCAGCCATTCCCTGGCTCCAGAAGTCCTCTCAGATGGCAGCTGGTGCCCTGGTTTGCTCCTGACCCCTCCTTGGTCACCCCACCTGCAGCCTTACATTCTGGTCCAGCTTGGCTCCTTCCCAGATGCCTTGCTTGCTGTTCCCAAGCGAGGCGTCTTCCTCAGGGCGGGGCCTAGGGTTCCCCTTCCCCCACTCAGACAGGGGCTCCCAGAGCACGAGGCCCAGGCTCTTTCTCCTCCCCACCAGACTAAGAACCTCCAGAGAACCAGGCCTGGCTTTCTACCTCCCCTCTTAGACTGAGGCTTTCCTGCAAATATGGCTTATGTCTCTTCCTTCCCCTCAGACTGGGAGGCCCCTGAGTCCTGGGCATGAGTCTCTCTTTCTTTCTTCGGGATGGGCACTTCCTTAGGTCTGACCCAGGGTCTTCTCCCCAACCCTTCCACCTGGCTGTTGATCTCCAGACTTTTCCACCTCCAATCCCCATTCTGTGCAGTTCTGCCCACAGCTGGGGCACTCAGGAGCCTCTGGAGCCTCCCCCAGCTCTGGGGCCCTGGGAGGGCTTCCTTTGGCTCTGGGCTGGACCTTTGGCTTGGAGCACAAGCCCTTCCTGAGGGACCGTGAGGCCCAGAGCGCCCACCCGAGTTGCACCTCTGACCTCACAAAGGCTGCCTCAGAACCTGGTCTCCATGGCGCTGCTGGCAGGAGAAGGGATGCTATTTTGGGCAGTGTGTCCGGACTTGGTGACGGGGCCAAACCCCTGCCCCACTGACCTCTTCCCTGGAACAGCAGAGCAGAGCAGTGCTCGGGCCACCCCGAGGAGGGCCGAGAGGCGGGTTCTAGCTTGGGGACGCAGGGACAGCGGAGCCTGAGACAGTCACGGAGGAACAAGCTCAAGACCTGCTGTGACTGAGAGGCCCCCAAGGCAGACGCTGGGAAGCATAAGGCACCTGGGCAGTGAGTCGGGTTCTAGGCAGGGCTGGGACAGGGGGCCTCCCCTGGGACCCAGGCCTGGGAGTGCCACTGCTGGAGACCACACGGGGAAGAGGTGACCGTGGGACTGTCTGGGGAAGGAACCCCAGCTGGGAGTTGAAGGTCTGGATATCTGTTCTGGTTTAATCCTGAGTTGCTGCGTCATATGGGCGCATCACACTTCCTCTCTGGGCTTCAGTTTCCTTACCCGTAAATTGACTGCTGGGAGGCCCAGTGGTGCAGCAGAGACTGTGAGGATGTGTGGGGCTGGGCTGCCAGCAGAGCCTAGGGGGTGGGAGTCGGGGGGCGAGTAGAGACTGGCGACACGGGACCAAAGCAGAAGGGATGCAGATCAGAGTAATGGGTGGATTTCTGGCTTTGCTGGAATGGTTCCTCCCTCTGGAGTCCCCTCCTGAGAGGCTGGGACTAGAGGGTTTCTGCCATCAGGGTTAGGGATGTGAACTTAGGCTGCAGTTAGAGGGAAGCGGGCTAGAGAACAAGGGAGCATGCAGGATGGGGAAACTCCAGGGTTACCTTTGTGCTGTCATTTGTGAGGAAAATAGGGATTAAAAGGGGGGAATTTTCAGGAAAGGTGAGAGGGTAGATTTTGTTCTGAGGTGGGGGTGAGGACTAAATGAACTTTCAGGACCTCATCCTGCGTGTGTGTGTGTGTGTGTGTGTGTGTGTGTGTGTGTGTGTGTGCAAGGGGAGGCAGACAAGGCCCTGGAAAGTCACAGTTTAAGTCAGCAAGAGAGCTTGAGGTTAGACTGAAGACAATAATACCCGCATATGTGACGTGTGGAGCTGCTGGGGGGAGGCTGTGGGCATCTCCACTGTCCAAAGCTGGGCTGCAGACTTGGGAAGGTCAGGAAGACCTCCGCAGGGCCTGGTCCGGGGGCCACGAGTCCAGGGGCCAGCAGGGGTGAGGGCGTGGGGCTTCAGTGCCACTCCCCATTGGCTGAAGACACCGACCCCACCTTCTCCATCCCTGCCAGCTCGGCTGGGTTGAGGGGTTGGCACTGGCGGCAGCTGTCCCTGTGGCTTCTTCCCTGGGGGAGCTGAGGTCTGATGAGAATGAGGGGCAAAGTTCTGAGCCCCCCAGCCCTAGTGACCCCTCTCTGGCTCCACAGCATCTCAAAATCTCAAAGACAGAATATGACTCAGGCCGACAGGAAGAAGCGGTAAGCATCCCACCCATTCCCCTACCCCAGCCCTTCCGTCCTGTGCCCAGCACACCCACAGGGCCCTCCCTGCCCCTCTCTCAGCCTCTCCCTCATGGTAGCTGATGCTCCCAGACTCCTTCCTTTCCACCCCGTACCAACCCATGGGGCCCAGAAGAAGGATCTCTCCCACCTGTGCCCATAGCCAAGCGTGGGCCAGGCCCTGGGCTGAGGGGAGGCTCAGAAAGACCCAGATGAGGGTCAAGGAGTTGAGCAGTGGGTTCCAGCTGCCCCTGTGTAGGTTGTGCTCAATTGAACTGAACTCACCACCTCTCACCCGCTCAGGCTCAGGTCTCTTTGGGGTGAAATAAAAGCCAAAGTCCTTGCAATGGCCAAGGCCCTGCCTATCTAGTGCCTGTTTCCTCTCTGACCTTCCCCCCGCCCACACTCTCCCCTCCTTTCCTTCAGACATGCTCAGAGTCCTTCAGTGGCCATCCCCCCTGCCTGAAACGTTCTTTCTGCAGTTCCCCACAGGGCTCGCTCCCTCCCCTCCTGTCTTTTTTGTTTTTAAAATAAATAAATTTATTTATTTATTTATTGGCTGCTTGGGTCTTCGTTGCTGCGCGTAGGCTTTCTCTAGTTGCCGCCAGCGGGGCTACTCTTACTTGCGGTGCACGGGCTTCTCATTGCGGTGGCTTCTCTTGTTGCAGAGCATGGGCTCTAGGTGCAAGGGCTTGAGTACTTGCGGCGCACAGGCTCAGTAGTTGCGGCTCACGGGCTCTAGAGCGCAGGCTCAGTAGTTGTGGTGCACGGGCTTAGTTGCCCCATGGCATGTGGGATCTTCCCGGACCAGGGCTCAAACCCGTTTCCCCTGCATTGGCAGGCGGATTCTTAACCACTGCGCCACCAGGGAAGTCCCGTCCTCCCTGCCTTTTCTCAAATGCCACCTTCTCAGTGAAGCTCACCCTGACTGCCCTACTCAGTCACTGCCCACCCCCTTTTCCTTGCTCTACCTTTTCCCGTAGGATGTACTACCTTCTACCACACAGATGACCTACTTAGGACATTTCATCTCTGCCTGTCAGCTCCACATGAGCATGAATGTTGGTCTGCTTGTGTGCTCTTGGATAGAGAGAATGAATGGGTCCCTTCTGTGCCAGTGACATCGCTGTCTCTGCCCAGGACTCTCATAGGGCTTTAGACCCTTTTTCCAGAGACTCACTGGTGCTGCAGACAGCTCAGTCCCAGCTGAAAACAGCCTTCTCCACTCCTCTCCCGCCACTTCCTGTGGCCTCAGCTCAGTCAAGGATCCCCTTCTCCTCCGATGCTCAAGCCAGAAGTCAAGGCCTTGTCCTTGATATTTTGTCCCCCACACCTCACATCTAACCACCAATCTGCTAAAATATGTAAGATATCCTCACTCCCACATCCCTACTCCCTCCCAGCCACTTTAGGCCACCACTTGCCCATTCTTCAAAGTCTCTTCAGGCCTTGCCTCCCACCCGGGGGCTCCTAGCTCTGACGGTGTTATCCATCTCCTCCACTGGATGAAGCCATCCAAGGGCAGAGACTGGATTTTTACTTTTACCCCTTGGGCCTGACTTATAAGTAGCTGCTCAACAAACATTTGTTAAATGGGTAGATATTGGTTAGCCAGTCAAATGGTTGGCTTGAGGTTAGTTGGATAGTTTGCAGCTGGTTGGTTGATTAGATAATTAAACGAGCTGGTCAATAGGAGAATCAGTTAGTTGGTTAAGTTGCTAGGTTGATGAGTCAAAGGGTTGGTTGGTGGGTTATTAGATATTTAGTTCCTTGGTTAGCACATATTACTTAGGTAATTACCTCATTGGCTGTTAGCTTCTTGGTTTGTAGGCTAGTTTTCTTAGATGCCCTTTATCATTCTATACCCTTCCTTGAGCTCTCTCATCTATGCCCATGGGTCAGATGACCATCTATGACATGGTGACCTCAAAATGGGTATCTCTAAACAAGACCACATGACCAGCAGCCTCCTTACTGGTCACCACCACTTAGCTGTCTAGTGAGCTCCTCAAACTCGCCACACCCAGAAGGGGACCCCTCATTCTCCAGCCTAAGCCTGCAGCTTCTCTCATGTGCCTCACGCAGGCCATCGTGCTGCTCTAGCCAGAGCCTGGGGTCATCCCTGACACTTCCTTCTCCATTCTCCTCTCTAATAAGACACCAAGTCTGTCGGTTTGACTGTCTTCCTCTCACCACCGCCACTGCACCTTCCTGGCTCAGGCTGCCATCACCTCTCAGCCTGTCTGATTGCTCACCACGCCTCTACTCATGCTCCCTTATTCCTGCCTCCAAAGAGGAGACAGCACTTCCGCTTAAATCCTTCACCCCACGGCCCTCTGGGGCGAGGTCAGACTCCCTAACGTGGGCCATGAGGCCATCTGCCCCTCTCTGCCCATCTCGTGCCACTCTCCCTTCTTTCTCTGCAGCCCATCCTTATAGAATTCCTCTATACATCACACACTGTCGTAGCTGCAAGCCTTTGTCCAAGCATTAGCCCAAAACCTTCCCCAACCTCCTTTGATGCTCCTTCATCTGGCCGGTCTTGTATTCTCGACCTAAATTTCCCTTCCACTGGGAGAGCCTCCTACTCCCTCCTCTGGGTCATATGCTTCCTCCCTGCAACCCCATAACGCCCACTCTTCACCTGTGGCAACACTCTTTACACTTTTAAGTAACTGCTTAGTTAATTGTTGGTCTTCCTAAGAGCAGGGATCATGCCAATGTTCTTTACTGCAGTCACTGAACACAGTAGGCATGCTAGGCATTCAATAAATCTTTGGTTCATTGGCTCCTTGGTGGCTGTCACTTACTGCGTCCTGCCTGCTTTGTGGTGAGGAGGAAGGGGCCTGGGTTCCAGAGCTCTCTTGGTGTCTGTGACTTCCTGCTTTGTCTACCGCTTCTCTGCCTCTGTGATGCCTTCCCAGGACTGTTCTTGAATTCCTGCT